GATGTGGTGTGTGGTACAGTAAATGTCAGGAGACATGTTTGATTGACTGTTTTTTCCCTCTTTCTCTAAGATCTTGGCTTATTTTTCTTGCCACTCTTTGACCAAACTATCTGAAACATGCCTGTCTCATTACTGGAGACCAAGCCTTGTTAAATTATTTCATCTTCTCCCTACACTTTGCTATGACATAGGAGTTGAGGGGAGATAGAGGACCATTATTAATGTCATAAGGTAGCATGTTAAGGCTTTTAATTACTCTAAGGGTTTATCTCTCCTCCAGCAATTTAATCTAGGAATGACTTCTGTTCAAGAAGCTCACCATTGTTCATCAGATAAATTGCCTTTTTGTCAAGAGTAGTTGGAAAAGCTTTTTCATTGTACTGTAGCTTTCACAGCAAGGCAGGGGTAATGGCAATTCTGTAGCACAAGTGTGTAAACTTCATTGCATCGTAAGTAATATCTTATCTTAATGGACACTTTGTTATAGTTACAGGCAAGATTCTGAATATACTTATCTTCACCAATGTGCATGCCCTAAACCATAGAATTACAGTAGGTTAAAGCTTATCTTATCATTTCTACCAGACCTAAAATGCATCACCTAATCCAGGGAGGGAGAGAGAATTAACTACTGTATACTCTATACCCCATCTTAAATTACTTTACATAAGCCTCTCAGACCCTCAGAAATTGCCCCAACTGTCAGCCATTTATGGACACTTATGATATTTTAGATCCGTTACATTTCCTTTTGTCAGCAGCAAGGCAATACTCTTTATCTTTCAAGTTCATCATATATTTTTCTGCAAACAATATTTCCTTATATACAAACATCTCCTTCCCTTGGTTTGTGCATGTATATGTCATGGTATAGTTACTGTATATCTGTTCATGCCCTTTTAATCCTAGAAATGAACTTCTCTATCCAATTTGACAGTTCAATCCATTACTTTTATCTGATAAAACTTTTAATGGTCTTATTTCCTCTCAAATTAACCTTTTCCTTGATATTTGAATTTTGACGTCTCCACTTTATGGAAGACAATAATGATCAGTTTATGTGGATAGATTATTTCTTACACCAGCCAATCTAATAAATGAAGCAGGCTATGCTTACCAATCCCTGGCATACCAGTAACCCCAACCATGGTCTTTATGAAGAAGTTCGGTAATTACAGTTTAACCAACTATCTAGTACATATGAAAAACATCTGCATTATAAAGTAAATAATACAATTTAAGAACATTGAGACAGGTCCAGCAAAGTCTTTATGCATCAGCTTTGCCAATCAGCCATTTTCTGTTCAAACCGACTCAAACTTGGGAACATCCACTATGAAGGAGCAGCAGATCAATAATGAATTTATTCCACCCTTCATACATCTAAATCTGATTCGGTTTTTGAAGATCTTGACTTTCTTTCTATTGATCCCCATTCTGTGTTTTTTCTGCATGAAACACTAATTAGGCTAAGATAGTCTAGGGTATTGAATTTACACAGAACGTCACATTTCTCAGTCCCAATCAATTTCCAATTAAATTTTATAAAACATTTATCCCACAACCTGGTCCTGTATTAAGATGTGAGTGCAATATTTCTTTACGTATCTTGCTCTTGCAAAACTTTGTGCCAAGCATGAATTATCATCCTATATCCCTCCTCAATGATGATGTTAGGAGTTTGGCTAAAGCCCTGGCTAGCTGACGAGAATAGACCGTTTCTCTGATTTGGCTGCCCACCCCATCCCCTCACTACTATGAGGGGTGACCAGGGAATTTTGCTGTAAGGGTGCAGATGTGGAGGCAGGGGAAATGCAAGAAAGATACACAAATGAAGCCCAGGGTGCAAGACTTATAGTATAATACAAAGGCAAGAAAAAGCATGCTAGATTTGGATCTAACCTTCCTCTTGAACATCTATTAAAAACTCCATCAAGAAGACCTAAAATGCTAGGAGTCTTGGCTCAAACTCCCAATTTGCAGTTTTACTACTGGTCAGCCATAATTTATCAAAACTATAAATGAATTTCATTCTCATCCGTTGGATACTGTGCCTGCTTTTTTTACACATGGAGGGAAGATTTTTTTAGTCTTTCCGTTTACCTAAAAAAAACAAAACTAAATGAAAGAAATCCCAACACTCCAACAGTGGTACAGTATACAGTATTAGTTGCTACTGTAGTATAGTCCATTAACTCTGTGTGATATGTCTGAAGTGCAAAGACTGTCTGATTCAAGGTGTTCCTTTAATTTCCCTTTATTTAAAGAAAAATACTTAAGTATAAATTAAATATTAATTGTACAAATTACTATAACAAGATTATATTAGGTGAAAATTTAAAGAGCATTTCATGATACAAACTATTATCTAATCAAAACATAAATGATCACTGTATTACCTGAAACTTTTGAAACAAAATTCAACAAAAATCTCACTGTATTCTTTCCTTACAAATGAACACTGTTTTTATAGACTTTATTCTGTCTATAAAAATGATGAAACAATGAAAGAAAAGATAATCTTATCTTGATTTGTTAAAAAAAATATGCCTTGAAAAAAGATTAAGTAAATTTTAAGTAACTTTACAACTGAGAAGAAATCTAGAAGGGAAATTAATCTTCAGCAATTTTAAGATGTACATTTGTCCAAATGATTTTATCTTCATGCATATAACAAGAATAACAGTATGTTACTTTACTGCTTTGACTTTTCCATTAATTAGTTATCATCTACAGAATCTGTCTATGAATAAACTTTTCCTATTCCCATTCTTTTCCTATTCCTAAATAATCCTATTTCCGATTAATTTGTTACTGTGATAATAAGCACCTTAGTTTGGTTGTAATTCTAGAGGACATAATCAATCAAGTATTTGTGTAATTGATCATTGCCAAGTTATAGAGGGCTTTCATTTAGATCTTTTTTTGGCCTTCAGTAATAATGATATTTATTTCAATAACCAAGAATTTAAGAAGGCTTCTGATCATATTTTATTTATTCTTAATGTTTCTAACTCAAATTCATACAGTTATATTCTAACTGCTTATTTTAATTAAAGTTCTGTAACACAATAGTATTAACCATGCCACCAAAAATCGTCTTATTGCATTCAGCAGTCCATTTTCACTTCTTTACCCAACTAGGGATGTGGTAAGCTTTAATGATGGAAACATTTTAACCACAGTTTAGAAATAGCAGGTGATTATCTGGAACATTAAAATATGGCTGAATGAAGAGCGACACTCCCAGATAAACTTTAGAAAATGTTTTGTAGTGCTATAGACATTGACTGGCCTCAATGTGCACTCATTGTATTTCCTCCATTTCCTCCATTATTATTACTAAGCTCTGGAACATTCTGTGAAATATTTCAGAACCTAACCTGATAAACTGTACCATGAACATTATCTGTCCACGTGTATTATTTGTTACACAGGACAATGCCAGCTCTTGATGTACCAGTGACTCCTGTAACTTCTAGGTACATGCCAGGCTAGCAGTAACGTTCACAACAGACACTACTCTCCTCTGATTGGTTCTATCCCTACTATGAGGTCCTGTGGAGCATGCAGTGTGTCAGAAGTTGAAAGGGTGACTAGCTGAGCAAGTTTAAGGTGCATGGCACCCCTCCCCCCGTAAAGCACAAACGTCACTGCTATGAGCCAATATACATATACAACCATTGGCAATTCCAGTCTGTGTGTGCATAGGAAATACAAGTATTCAGACCTACTCTGAAAATGGGACAGGTCAGCTAAAACAATGCTTTTGAGAGCATGATATACAGTAACTAGAACAATTCGCTCCCTATCTCTTTCTACCAGACGTCTTTGTAATTTTACTGGAGGAAAAGACACATGTTCTGTATATTCTGTCTGAAATACTCAATGCATCATTCATGATCTCTCATTATCCAGATGTACTATCTACTGTGTCTGTATTGTACCCCACCGGACACAAAGAAGGAATACACAACATGCTTTTGCATACTCTTGTTTACTAAACTATATGTAATACATTATTTAAAATATATGTTACTGTTTATGCAACATATTTTTAATATTATATCTATTATTTACTAACGGGCATCTCTGTTTAAGTCAAACCTTTAGCATTTAAGGATAATAAAAAATCATGAAATATTCATGAATATTAATGTGGCAGAAACAGTAAATTATTAAACAGAACAAGATGATCTAACCATATTTTCTCTTCAATAGCCATTCCAAGAAGGGAACCAGAAACTATATTCAAATGATATCACCTCCTGAAATATAAGTTTGTGTTTCTTTCTCATGTTGTAATTTAAATTCATTAGAGACTTTTTTTCATTGTCATTAACCTGCTGCACATATTCATAAGGTAATGGAAAGAAGCAACAAGGTGAACTTCCATTTTAGCAGATCCCCATTTATGTTAATAGAGTAACTTAAAATTCCCACTTTCAATGGGTTATGTCACTGCACCTTGTTTTAATCTATAGGTTGTCACCAAATTTACAATTCTAGAGCATTTTGTCTTGTGGGATTCTTTAAATTTTGTAAGTGATGGTAATAAAAAAATTTGTAACAAATATTGTGAAAACTGTTCATCTATTTATTTTAATAAAGGAACACTACACTTATGTTTTATATAACACTATCATCATTCTTTAGCTGGAAAAAAAATAAACTGTTCTGAAACTTTTTAACAGGATGATTTTCAGAACTTTTAACTCCAAAGCATTTGATATCTCTTTCCTGAAAGCAATGTAATGTGGGGGATAAATAAAAAAACAACCTAGGTGTGGGGAAAAATGTGTCCTTTCACTCCTAAATATCTGACAGAGTTGGTGAAAGAAATTTGGCATTTGGCATAATGCTGTAAATGTATTTTGTTTTCTGATACAAGTACAATATAGGCGATGATTGGGTTTAATTCAACAAACTGAATACAGTTTATAATGACACAACACCAAACCATTGTACAGAATTCAAACATAGAAAAGGCTCTGACTTACTGGATAGATTTGGAAGTTTGAGATCTGAATTTGCTGAATTCACCAGGAGCTGTCCACTCGGTACCCAGCTGAAATAAGAAACAAAGGGTTATAGATGCTCTTACAGTACTGCTAACAATAGGTCTTAGCATTTACTGTATATTGCTAATTTGAACATTTTAAAAGTTCATGATTTTCAAAGATCATTAAATTAAGACTTTTTAGGCTGCATACAACATACAGTATACACATAAAATGTTCCTCTGTTGACATGCTGCAGTCATGCATCCAACATCTGTGGGATATGTGTAAGAAAACATTGGTGATTTCTGTAGAACTTTCTTCTTATTAAGCAATAATTATTTTTTAACTGTTACTTAAAGTAACTTAGTTACTTAAGACTTACTAAATGCTTGGTTTTTAGGATTTTGTCAAACAGGAGTCTTAGGTGCTGTGTTAATTAACAGGTGAAAGGCACAAATATTTGTAGAGTTTCAAATGTAATTTATTCTTTGTGGTGTTTCTGTTCAAAGGGTGGCAGCTTGTTGAAGCTATAATGAGTAGGTTTGCAGTTTTGTGGCACAAAAGGCAGTTGCAATTCAAATTAAAAGTGGGGTACCTTAAAGTTCACTAATTATCAACTTAAATTAAAATAGCATGATATGCTAAAGTTCAATAATTGCAGAAATAAAGTACAGAAGATAATGTGTGTTTTGACTTATACAAGACAAATTTCTGCATGCAGAATTTAACAGCAGACTTTCATACCATAACATTTATGTAACTGCAGAAGACAAGAGCAGATCTCACATCCCCATACCGAGTCTGTGGTAAGTCTACCCTAGGAACAAATGTATCTCAGGGACGGGTCTACTCACTGGAGAATTTCACCAGCAAGAACTAACAAGCCCTGTGCCTTTCACATTGCAAAGGGCTGAGGCAGCTCCATGCACATACAAAACCACAGAGAGCTGATGAAAGCAAAGTACTTAAGGATCGGCTAAAGAGAGCTCCAAATCAATCCCGATTGTACGTTTACAACATGAGAGAAAAGGGAAGACTGACGTACTGTATTATGGGAATGATTGACAAAAGCTTTCTGTCCTTAAGTGTGGCCTTGTACTGTCTGTGTTCTTTGCCTCAATTTAAGAGGAAAAAAGCAAAGCTCCTAGAAGAGAAAAACCTTGTAGGATATAAAAAGCAGCAGAGACTTTGTTGTTGCAAATTTCTATAAGCTGCATTTTTCTTATTCCACTCTTTCAATTTTGCAGTCAAATTCCTTTAAATTGTTCCTTCACACATCTGACAAGATCTGTAAAATGCTACCAGAACTCTACTCTCAATACCAAACACCAATGCTTCCATAACCAGGATATTACAAAGGTCACATACTTGTACTGTATGTAAATACTGTTGGAAAAAAGACTCATAACTTTCTGCCTATTTAATCAGCACAGATCCAAGATCCATAAATTAATGCCAAGAATCCTGCAATGAGTATTAAAATGAAGCAAATGCAGACCTGCAATCAGATTCTGCTAGCCAATGAACTGAGTAATTTTACTTGAAAATCAAGCTGTATTCCTGATTTTAATATAATGAAATGAAGAATCTTTTTTCAGAAATAAACTGCCTCAGACTGAAGTAGCCTAAGAGACAGAATTTCTTTAGATAGAAAAAACAGAGCAAGTATAATTAGAATTTGCAGTGCTTCCATTCTAATTGAAAATATAAACTGAACGTCACAATCACATCAAGCTAGTCTTTGATTGTTTGTGTACTAAATTTAGTAAATTGCTGCCACACAGACTTCTAGGAGAGTAATACTACCTTATGTTTTATGCCATGCCCAGCTGCATTCTCACTTTGAGATGTGATTCTTGTCCTAACTGGAATTACCCTGCCGATGCAGGATTAACGCTGGGATGAAGAAGGAATTACCTAGGGAGAAGCCCGTCATGGCCTCGAGTTCTCCAAAAATAAAACAGGTAAATGAAACAGGCAAACAAAGGAACCTGAACTGCATGTTTCCTCTCCCTGTATACTGACTCCGTTTGCTGAAGGGAAACTTTGAAAATATTATCTGAGCATTAAGATGATAATTCATGTTTTTTGAAAAAAAAAAAGACAGCTAAATAATGCTAAACAGGCAGAGAATAGTGTCAGACTCTTCAAACAAGCTATGAGTTTCAACTATTTAAGTGTTCTGCAACATACAGTACAACAGAACAACTGTTTGATCATTCCAGCAAAATCCCCAGACTACTGTAAAAGAAATTAACAGAAGAATGGACTGAGAAATATATAAGCACACATTTCAGTGATAAAATAAATGTCAATGGGCAAAAATCAAGATGGAAACCTTTACGAAGAACTATTCTCAAAAGAAAGCAACTGGACTTCTCCGTTGAATATTTGAGCAATCCTGATAATTTCTGCATCATTCCACAACATTCCATAACAATTTTAACTTACATAAATTATTTTCTTTATGATTTACAGAATCTTGTTTTTTTAAGTCTCTCAATTTTTCAGGCCTGAGATAGAAGGCAGACACATTCTGTACATATAACCGATATGGCTTGATGATCATTCATTGTTTAGGTTTGACATGGATTACACATTATCAGAAAAGGTGTGGAAGTCCAGAGTAATCATCCTGCAGTCAAGATATTATGAGCACTGTCTCCACTGAGCTCACCATTCTTCTTCTTGAGTGACAAGAGGCATCTTCACTTTCAAAAGAAGACAATTTGTCTCAGTTTAACCAGTCATGGCTTTGCAAAACTCTTGGCTGTTTTTTCCTCAAGTGTGTATGCAATGCGGTGAGATTCAGACAGAGTTCATCAATAAAAGATTGTCCCCAGATTCCCACTGGACTGCAGCTTCAATCAAGCAAGGGCTCAATTTCCTCAGGAGTTGGGGAGGTTAGAAGGAAAAAGGAAGAAAGTCTGTCACTCTCATTTTGTCATTAAGAAACAGTGCCTTCAGCTCGTCACATTTTCTTGGAACATTTGATTTCTCTTTGTTATTCTGTTTTGTCTTTGCAAGGACAACCTTACAGTAAGTCCATCTGACATACTCTTGTGATTCTGAAATGCAACAGATCTTTATACATGCGATAGCATAAACTTTTAATTCCTACAAGCAGAGTGCTGAATTCTTAATTCAAAGAAATCCATTCTGCTAAATTTTAAATATGTTATCAAAAGGGCAAGATAAAATTAACATTCTTTTACCCAGTGCTTTTGCAATTTATTACTAGGAATAAAATTGGATATAAGGTGGCAAAATACTCCTTTTTATGATTTCTTTTAACCCTTTAAACCAGTGCTGGTTAACATCAGTCTTCCTGTAGGTTTTCTGAGTACTTTTGAATTAACTCATTAAGAACTAAAAAAATCAGACGATTTAATACTCATCCAATAAATTAGTAGAATTAAGCAATTAAAGATCAGAATAGGGATGAAAATAAAATCCTGTGGTCTTTTCCGGTTATGAAATATTTGACATGAAACCATCCTCATAGATTTATACCTCTTTAAGGTTAATTAAGACTCACCATAAAAAAAAACAGGAACCTGGTCTTGAATCCCAAAGAGACCTTGTTAAGTAGCAGAACAGGCCTTTCCAATGCATTATGAAATGTACCTTTTAATGGTATAACTAAGACCAGCAGAGAAACGGGCAAGGAGGAAAGACGAGGCGTCGACGTTTAGGTTTTACAGTATATGAGGAGTCACTGATGTGAAGCTGCACAAAACCTCCCCTTTACAAAATATATTTTCTTTCTGTCTTTATCAGATTCCACGGAAAACACTGGCTTTAATGTTACTTCGCAGTCAAAACAACAGCAATTAAAAAAAGAATCATTTGACAAAATTATTGCTTTTATAAGAAAAACTCTTTATTTGCTGAATAATTCTACAGCAGCGGTAAGCTTAGTCTAGAAAGCGCCAAGCTTTCCTGTTTCTACAAAGTATTCTGGTAATTTATTGCATTTTTCTATAATTATCTGCATAAAAGGTGTTTTCTAGTACTAGCACAATATCAGCGTCTATGTTTATTGTACAGTCTGAGCATTAATTATCTTCTCTTGTATTCTACACGGTCCCATGAATCTAAACATGTGATTTCCCATTCTGTTCTGTGGTTTGTTCACGTGAACAGTGATGAATCAACCACAGATCATTATGTCTTGTTAGTCATAAGATGTTTTCTATTTCTAAGAACTAAACAAAGCTCTTCCTGATCTATATCAATAATTAAGATCCTTATTTTGTTAGGAAAACAGTTCAATTGCCGGTACAAAAAGAGGAAGATTGGAAAACGCAGACCATACACTGTGCATTTTAAAAGGGTTATTTAGAGTTGAAAGAAGAAATGCATAAAACAGATCTTAGTGTTTATGTAGATTATTATCCTCATCAAGACAGTGTATGGAAACAATAAAAAAGCAAGCAAAACATTTGGGTAACTCAAGCTTTATGATGCATTAGTAAGGCCTCACTTAAAATACTATGAACAGTATTTCCTTATGTCCTTAGAACAAAATCAAATAGCAACAACAAGAATGATTCCTGGACTCAGGGGACTGTCATACAATTAGAGAAGTAAAATTTCATCAGTCTAAAACAGAGGAAAATAAGAGTCTATTTGAACCAAGAATATAAAATTCAAAGGGGTACACAGTATATCTGATCAATCCAGGGGAACACTGAACATGATCTAAACAAGAACACAAAAGCACAACTGGAAATTAAAGGTAAATTCACAAGAGTAGTGGGTATATTCTTCTGTCAAGTAAGGTAGGTGAGGTGCATACCCTGAGCTGTTTCATGAAATGGCAGGATGAAATTTTAGATTCACTTAGGTATTATAAACTGCCAAAAAAACAAACTGAATGACCTCCTCATGTTCGTTACTTTTCTTATGTTCTTAAAATCAGACAGATGCAATAGGAATATAAAGAGTTAAAGACTATCCTGTAATATCCAATACTACATCCCATTATCCTGAGCAGTTTGGGTTGTTTTTTAAACCCAGGGCTTTACAATTAATGAATACTGAAGTTAATCATACAAATCTTTTTCACAATTACGGAAGAACAGGAATACAGAAAATGTGCATCAAGTCACAAGAAACATCCACATTTTAATTTGTCTAGAGATGTGTCTTAATATTTGTGAAATATATTGTAAAATATATTAGGGTTTTCACAACATCAATCTGCAATGAAGTGACAGACTTATTATAATGTTAATTATGTGACTATAACATACACACAGTGTATAGAACTACCAATCTGAAAAAAATGTTTGTTTTTTATTTTGATTGTTGAAAAGTGTTTTGGATTCTCTCTCTCTAACTGGATAAGTTAGGGACTTTGAAGCTGATACTATACCATAATCAGTTACTGTACAGTATATAGCTGAAAATTCATAAGTTGACAAAGCCTACACTGCCTGTAATGTAATATATGTATTAAAATCCTCCTGTGTAAGAAGATATGTAAGCAAACATACTAGTTGTGTCACGCCCTCTACATCTAGAGGGGGCTCCTGCACTGTCCTGTTCCTAGTTTCCCTGTGCTTCACTTGTCCTTCCGGTGGGTCTTGTTGTCTGGGGCTTTATATTTCCGGGTCTCCCTCTCCTCCTCGCTCGGCATTGGGATCGGCTGTCGAGAGGCTCGCCTCACCAGGTCGCCCCACGTCAGCTACACGAGGGCTCGTGTCTCGTTCCGGCCCCGTCCTGTACCTTCAGCCAGGACCGAAACCCCTGTCACGCCCTCTGCAGCCAGAGGGCGCTCCTTCTCTGTCCTGTCTCTCATTTCCGGTTCTTTGCTGTCCTTCCGGTGTTTCTCCTTCTCTGGGGCTATATACTTCCGGGTCTTTCATTCTGCCTTCGCTCAGCATTGACGTTCGGATGTCCTGAGACCCGCCTAGCACCAGGTTGCCTCACGTCCTCTACCTGAGGACATAGGTTTCTATACGGCATTTCCTGAACAGCTGACTCCAGGCTAACCCCCGTCTCGTCGATAGGCATAGGGTCTTTACGCTCTCCTGCCATTCTTTGGTTTGTCCATTCCGACATCCGTGACACCCCCTTATTTGCTCTGTCCCTGCCACTACGCATAGGGTCCTCCCGTCTCGCCGGTCTCTCTCCACGCCTAGCCCCCAGCTTCCGTGACAGTTGTTACTAAGTAGTTAACTGATCTGAGGAAATCATCCAGCCATTTACTTGAAGGACCCCACTGTATCAGCTTCAACAGCAAGGCTGGGCTTTGCTGTTTTGAGCCTCATATTAACAACATGTATTTCTTTTTAAATTAAAAAAAAGGAAAATGGCAGTCAACTGTAGACTGCAGTACCGATTCTGAAAAATGTATCATGAATCAAAAAAATAATACACAAACAGACCAAGGAGCAATAATCGCCTAAGATGGTTATCAGTTGATTGGCTTCTGTGAGATTTATCCAGTACACACACAATCACAATCTGGGCAGACGTGCTACAGATAGTCTCCGAGTGCTTGTTAAAATGACACTTAGAATACACAGAAGATCGAGTAAGAGGTCAAAGATGTCACATTTTTTTTGTGTCTGGATGCTCTTTACATCAGTAAGATCTGTCATAGTGTGACACTAGATACTGGCAAATCACAGTGGATTAGCTATGAAACCCCACGCACATACATAGCATATAATCCTGCAAACCTCAGAGGCAAATCTTTTTGGAGGAAAATGCTTTTGCCAGCAATGTCCAATGCAGAAAACTCTAGTAAATCAAAAAAGAATAGCCGTCATAAACCAATCTTCTCCACTTTGGATGGTCTCCTGCTGGCCTGTGATTTAATAAAGCTCATTTTCCTTTTGTTTGTTGTGTCTTTCCACTGCATATTTTCTGTCAGTTAGAAGGGAACTATTGTTAATATACTGTAATCATGATTTCTCATGGCAAACAGTATGAAGATCAAATTGGAAGGCATATTATACAGTAGGATTGTGCCCGAAGCAAAAGAAAGAAACAATGAAAATAATCAAAGTATGGAATCCGTGAACTAAGAACACAGGCTTTGGCTTTTCCAAGTTGTTAAAAATAAAAAAACAATCTTTCATTAAACCTGGATTATATCACGGGACAATTGTAATTAGGATTACCCAAGCAGAGGTGTGCAAATGCCAGTTTTCCAGCCCCTCTAACAGGAGTGACACTAGTAGGCTGAGAGCGACATCAATGACAGAGAAGCTGCTCCTCCACTTGGGCCTGACCCTCCCAAATACTGATGTAGAGATTGCAGCACGTTAGAATCACTGAGCTTCAATGGGCTTGATGGGAGTTGGGTCCTGCCTGCACTTCCTCATTCCCCCTCTGGGGGGGCAGGGGTAGTTGCTATGAGCTGAGACATGAAAGACACAATTGGCAACTCCAAATTAGGCATGGGCATAACAAAAAAAATGGCGTTCCTTAATTCCTTTTAAAACCTCTTCCAGGAATCAGAAGCATAAGAAAAACTAACCTGCTTCACACTGTTGAATCAGATCTCAGAACACCTCATATAAAGTTACACAAACACAAAAATGTGATTATCGAGAAAATACACAACCAAAACTTGGGATTATCATAGATTTCAGACTGCTGTAGGTTGACAGGACAAGAGGTGTGAAATTCTAAGATGGAACACTTGCATAATTCAGAAATCCGAGGAAAACCAAGGGCAAATTGATTGTATGCTGCTTTCAGTTCCTGCACACACACAAAAAACAGGATTTTTAATGTGTTAATATTGGCTGTGCCAAAGACCATTGCGATTATGTTCTTCCTTGCTACACAGGTGTTGAAGAAGGTAGTATAATAATGGGTCTTTCAGACAGGGGGGGGAGCAGATAATGCATATACTGTATCACAATCAATTAGAAACTTTTATCTTGTTTTTCATGTTCCCTAAAGGATATTTTATTGTCCCATTGAGAGAAGAGCTGTCATTGACTTGAATGAGCAAAATCTCTTTCAGTGCACCTCATATGGTTCTTAGAAAACATACTGTTTTAGGAAATTAATCTGCCCCCCTAAACTAAACTGTTTTTTTTAAATAAGTTTCAGAGCACAACCAACATTACAACTGTCTCCACAGGGATGTCTACAGCAGGTACAGCATTTTTCTCATTTATTGCTAGCAAGTTAAGCCCTGAGCTATTAATTTAGCAAAATTCTGAGATATTCAAATAAAATGACTCAACTACAACACTGTATGTGCATTTCTAGGAATTGTATTCATGCTAGCAAGAACTATTCCTGCATTTGGCCTACATTTGTAATGAACAATAAAAAGTCCAAAAATAAAAAAAAAAGATTTTCAAACACTTAAGGTCTACAGGACATGCCTTTTTATAGTTATATACCCATTTTATTTGATTTTTTCCAAAGAATCATTTTGTAGTTTTAAAGGTAAGCCTGCAGTATAATGAACTAATACCTGGATCTAATCCATTAACTATCTAGTCCATTCATTACCAGAAAACCACTTACTCCTTTTAAGGATCATGGCCTAGAACCAATCCTGGAAATACAGGGCAGGACTAGACCCTAGACAGGATGCAGTCCACATACACACAAGTACAGGGAAATCAATTAATCAATTAACCTTCTTGCCTTCAGAAGGTGGGGGGAATACATAGCACTCCCAGGAAAACCATATAGAACTAGGAAGGCCATGCAAGCTCCCAAGCCAGAATTGAATCCAAGAGAAAAGCTAATCAGTATACTGTCCCCTTCACCATTACAATCTAACATTTTGAATAAAAATGACAAATATTAATGAGGAGCAGTACAGTGACAATGAATTTAAAAAATAGATGGATGGAAATATTGATGAGCAGGTTTAAATGGCCAGTTTGATCCTTTTTAAATTATGTTGCATTCCCTTCACATTTTAGGAGATATCTGGAGAGTGAGTGGCAACATTTTCACTTTAGCAGATCTATGCATAAACGTTACCAACTGCAGAGGTCACTTAATGAATAGAAGCTGCCTCAGCTCTAGTACTACTGAATAAAATATGACAAAACTGAAAGCAAATACCCCCGTCTGAGCACAAAGCTGGGAGAGATCTGGAATATGGAATACAAAACACTATTTCCTTTGCATAGAGGTGTTTAAATGTGTGCATGCTTGATGCCATTGGAGGTCGAATTAAAATGAATGATTATTTTTTGCCCAAATTCTAGGAGTGAACCAAGTTTGAATTAAATTTTAATCCACAAGATGCCTCTAAGCATCTTAATACCATGACAGTTTATTGTTTTCTTTGCTTTTTGCCTGTATGCTGAATTAGTGTCTTACTGTGAGAAATATTCTAGATAATTTAAAAACCATGGCCTATGCACAGACAGGCAATATTTGTTTCTTAAAGAAACAGAAGCAAAAGGCAATAAACTGCTCTTTCTGTGGCTCCTTTTGTTCATCACATCAGGTATTCATGCAGGTTTTGTCATGCATATGCCATGACTTTACTTTAGTCATTGTACCAGCTAATATCAAATATATTGCAAACACAAAGGGATATCTGCTGTAAGACAAATAAATATCCCTAGACCTGCGTAGAAATATAAGGCAATACAGTTACCTACTGGTGAATAGTTGACCAAGTGATAAAAGATTCAGTCGACTGATTCCTGGTATGATGCATTAAAAGTAGGAGACTAATTTAAAGGGCATTTAATTCAATAAAGTATCCAGATGCCCAACAGAAAAGGTGTATCAAGGCAGCATATGTACCTTTCCAACAAACACCAGCAGCCTGGCATTGATAGGGTTCTCATCAGAGCTCAGCCAAAACTCAGAGTTATCATCAGAGGCGATTGCAAACTGGAAATCACCTAGAGAAAAAAGAAATGAGACCATTAACTGCCAATATCCATCTTAACATTTTAACCACATGTGCTGTGAAAAAGTTCCACATTCTTAAGGACAATGGCTGTCCAGCTGAAACTATGTTGTTGGGCCATGTTGTTTGTTAAATTAATCTTGACAGACCTGGAGGGTCAATATGACACAAACTGCTCTTTCAGTTAATCACAGTGGATTCTGAAACTGCAGATGGGATGTTCAGATTTTGGCTCTGTAATGTATTAAGGGAATTTGCATGATCAAAAAGTGTATTATAAAAAGTGAGGGTCTTTGTGGCAATGAAATTTCATGAACAGTGGAGCTGGCAAAACGGGAAGAGCAGCAGGTGTCAGATCACAGAAACGCAGCTTTTCGAAGGCATGACGAGAGTAAAGATCAAGAACCACCATAGACAGCTTTCTAGTATGGTAAAGGATGAAGAGAGGAGCTATCTCTCCTAAAACTGCATCTTCAGCGCACCTGCTGTGGGCGTTATATGTCTCTGCCAAGGCAAGGTGGAAACAGAATGAAATCTTCCAAAAGTTTTAGCACATTTCCACATCTTTCGCCATAGCTTTTACTTTTCTGTTCCTGATATTAGTAGAAGTGGTGATAGTAGTGGTGATAATTGATGTAGAAGCAACAGTGGTCATAGTAACAATAGTAGTAGTAAAAGCTAATACTACCTATAATAGTAGTTCGGGTGGGGAGCTGCGTCAGCATGCGTAGGCTGCAAAGAAACAAGTAATAGGTTTATTCCATGCTGAAAAAAAGAAGAAAGAGAACACAACGTTTCGGCCGTGGAGCCTTCTTCAGGTGACACCTGAAGCTGAAACGTTGTGTTCTCTTTCTTCTTTTTTTCAGCATGGAATAAACCTATTACTTGTTCCTTTGCTACCTATAATAGTATTGGTAGCAGCAATATACTGTAAGTAATATTTGTAATAGTGGTCGTGTGGTAGAAGAAGGCACAGCAGCATGACAAAGTGATATAAAATCTAGTGATTGTAAAATACATATCTTTAGACTGTTATAGTTTCGAAATCTATTGTCTGTTTTTACTTTTCATGATGCACATGACATGGAATTCAGACGATGACTATGGAGGACGTGAGCACAACGCTCTGACAGCACTCACCATCCTTGTAAGGGTGGATGAAGCCAAATATTCGGAGGCCATAGTTTTTCCATTTTGGGGCCACAGCAAGCTTCTTCACTGTGGTCCTTGTCTGTAATTAAAGATTCATCCATAAGCTTAAGAAATATCTGCACTATTGAAGAAGTACTGTACCTGATGCTAATTTAAGGTGAGGCATTTCCTGGGGTAGTCTTAAAAGTCACCCCTGATTTTATTTAGAATAACAGCACTGATGGATTTTCTGCTAATTCCAACATTCCAAGCCCATTTTCTACCTGTCAGTGACACTGAATCAAGGAATTCACTGTGTGCTTTGGCCACACTCCCTCCGACAGTCAGAAATGTAAAAGCACTTGTTCCAATGAGAGCCTCTGCCCATTATTTAATTCATAGTTCTTGGATTTAAAACAGACATTGAATTGTGTCATCAATTCCAACCAGTATGGATAAAAGAGCATTTCTCACAGGATGAATATCGTAAGCAAGACAGAATCACCTTCTCTATGCTGTTTTAGCTACTGGAGAGGGAGCTGTGTCTGTGTGTAATCTGCAAAGGAACAAGCAGAGGTAAATACAGTATTTACTGTTGAGTCAGAAAGAGTGATTTGGCTGCAGACCCTCCTTCAGGTGTGTGAAATGATGAAGGGGAAATGTACAGCATGTCTTTGTGTCTAGTCTTCAGAGAGGAATGGAGTTCCTATGTATCCATTAGCCTATAATTAAGACAAATTGGGCAATGGCTACTTCTAATTCAATGTGCTGTGTAGTGTGTGGAACTCAATAAAATGAAACCTTAACATAGGGAATAATAGAGCCATAGGATTGTCCCCAGATATTGTCTGATACATATACTGTACATAATGTCTGATACACCCAAGAGATGATACAGTTAAAGGAGAGCAATTCTTAACACAAAGAAAGGCTTCAACGTGTTGTTACAATACTTTGTTACTTTTACCCTTGCTCAGGGTTTTTTTTTATTTTCCTTTTAATTACTGAGTGGCAGAAAAATGTTGATAGAACCAAGACAGCAACAGCGAAAAACAAAACAAATCCGGTAAATAACTAGCAGAATAGTGGAGTTTTGGAAAACAGAAAACAGCCAGGAGCCCCTTAACAAGACTTGTGATGGAGATCACGTAATGTGCAGCAGAGTTGCCCACTAGGCAGCCAGACCACTCCATCACACTGCAGGGCTTTGTTACACTTTACATAATGCAACAGGCCAAGGAACCACCATCCTGCTCTTCAGAATCGAGGCTGAAGGCAGCTGTCAGTACCACTTTCTTGATAGTTCAGTCTACATTTTATTGCATTTTGTTGCTTAATTATTAAGTACTTCCTTCTGTGCAGTAACCACATCCTACCAATTATTTAAGCAGTGGTACATTACTTATTTCCTGGTTTCTTTTACACAGAATGTATTGCAATGAAAAATATGTTCAGTATACACTGTCAATTTGCAAGGGATTTTCTAGGCAAAAAGAGGAGATGTACTGTAGCACTAGAACCTAAATAAGAAAGCTTTGTGGGAATCTTTGCTGTTTTGTTGGCATGGCACTTGCCACTGTATCTTATTTTCCCCTTAAAAATCTGTTCAGATTCTACAAACTGTTGTGTATCAGTTATGCCTCCAGCTGATCTCACATACCAGTCTGCCCGTGTGTACTCACATGTGGGTACAGAGGGAAGTGAAGGTTCTTTCTCAGCTGAGCAACGGAGGCGCCACACCAGTCTTCAAACACATGGAGATTGGCTTGCCCTTTATACTGCAGAGCAAGGACAGGATAGATGAGCTGTTAGGAGAGGTTCGTCACAACTACCGATTTTGATAAATGACACAGGAGATGGAAGACAGACTTTCATTGGATTTTTCTTTTCCACTTATCAGTTCTTCTGTTTCGTTCTCCCGAGTCTTTAAAAGGTCGAACTCAGTCCAAGATAAAGCATTACCACCAGTAATAAAGTCATAACAATGAAAGAACTGTCTATAACTGTGCAAAAGCTGAAATACAATGATTCAACATTACTTGGTATAACAGCAGCTTGACAATGATGGAGTTACTGTAACTAGTGTAAAGGTAAATGTGGAGGTTTCATGGATGGGGGGGAGGGACTGTTTTCTTCATCACTTGATGATATTTTCATCAATTACAGGCTTGTACTGTAGCTTCAGCACTAATTTCCATGTGGCTGAAATAATTCCCCTTTATTGAAAGAATTCCTGATTGGCTTGAGATCTACTGTCTATATAGAACCTTTTGTCTGTTCAACTGGGTGGTTGAGACATGTTCACAATAGGGTGTCATTATCTTGTAAGGGAAAATATGTATAATTTTACCAACTCTGAGTGAAGTGTCATCTGAAGAAAATGCATATCTTTAGGTTTAAACTTGATTTCCATATGTGACAGTTAAGGAGTCAAACTGAAAAAGTATAAGAAATAATCTCTTCTTTTAAAAAAAAACTGCCTACAGCTTTCTGGTTTATAGATAACATCTTTATTCTCGGCAAAATATATCTGACAAGATACTTAATTAAGATCTTAAACATTTTAGTGAGAATTATTAAAGTTATTTAATAATAACTAGTAATTTCAAGTTATGGCAAATAAGCAAAGGTTGTTAAAAGCCAATTTCTAACAGGAAACGTGTTAAACATTATTGATATTGTACATTTGTTGCCATCAAATGAGCAATATACAGTATAAAAAACCTGCCTTATTGATTGGAAAAGTTTTTAAAATAAAAAATAGCAGTTTTACAATGATAGAAATGATTTGTATTATTAATTTATCTGACCAATGATTTTATCTTTAGACTCTGCAATGTTCATACTCCTAGGTATCTGGTTTCATCATAAATACGGTCATTTTTGAAAGTACAATTGGAATGGCTGCATATTTCCTGCCAATGAAGAAAAAGGGAGACTTACAATTACCAACTGAGTGTATACAGTAAATAAACAGACTTCCAGTACTCTAAGGTAAAACAGAAATGGTCCATAAGCCTTTGTGAACCTCTAGAGAATCTAAATAGCACTTAGGATATCAACAGAAAACTCTGAGATATGGTTAATGAACAGTAAAAATTGTACTGGGGAGGAATGAACGGTCAATTCTTTGAGTGTTCATTTTGCTCCCAGGACTTAATATAAATTCCCCTTGATTCAGGGTCTCTTTTCTAAAACAGATTCTTCTTAAAGAAAGATCCCTTAAAGATCACCGTAGACGAGTGGGTCCCAGTCCTGGTCCTCATCCTCGTGCCTCACATACCTGCTGGGTTTCATTCCATCCCACCTTCATCAGATAATTGAAGAAAGAAGGTGCTTCATCGGAATATTTGCATTTTGTTTTCAATCACAAGTTTGAGATTTGATTTCACTAAGAAAACACGTCAGTTAAAGTGCCAACACATTTAAGAGCTGGGAACAAACAATTCAGATTCATCTTATTATTAAGTTAGTGAAGGGTTATATTGCGCTGGTTGGAGCCAAAACCAACAGGTGTGTGAGTCACCAGGACCAGGACTGGGAACCACTGCCGCAGATAAACATAAAGTAACAAAAAAGCAAAAATGTACATACTTCACACACACAAACAAGTATGACGTGGTTGCTGTGCAAATACAGCTCAAACACTTTAGGGAAAACTGTGGCTGTCCTACATTTTAATGAAGCAGATAATAGCGAAAAAGAAAAGTTAACTCCAAATGTAAGCGAAAAACTGAAACAGGCAATGCAGAAGAACACTCATTATGAAGATCATTTCTCCAGGGCAACTCTACTGTCAATTGCCTAATGGCATAATCAAAGTGCCGTATGGTTTAGTCATACAGTGAATTGTGCAGTTCAGAAATGCCCTTGAGTTTTAAGGTGTAATGCTGTACTGTATGCATGGTCAGCCAGTTTCCATGGAGATTCTTCTCACGCAGGCAAGCCAAAGCATAGGTGATTTGCCTGGTGTTCAGGGCCTTTCTGAAAGTCAGTGGTAAATAAAGATTAAAATACAAAAGCTTACTCCTCACCTGCTTGTGATCATTCAAATGCACTGCCACAGCCTACCATTTCAAAACATGTGTTAACACAATATACCACTAGAGCCCTATAGGACTTGCTTTGTAGTTATGTGTGCTTATACAGGTTTAACAAAAAAGGAATACTATTCTATCAGACAAACACCATCATATCCACTAGTATTCTCAGCAAATGTGGGTCTTAATCATACAGTACATAGTAAAAAGTTCTTATTTTATGTATTTCATATTCCCAAAATTAATATTTGGAAATATGTGTAATCACATTTCCTCATTATGCATTTTTTTATTAACAAAAAATGCACTCTGTATTTCTAATGCTAGCATAACACTGAAAAAGTGAAAATTTAAGAATCTGTGTACTTAAAAGGCAGTGACAGTTTTCATGTTGTAAAATAAAACAGTAAGAAGCAGTTATTTGCGTGCTGAAAGCACTGTAGTTACAAACCAAGAAAACAGTTTTGAAGGCTTTACAGTACATAGACCAATAGACCATGCTTAGGTGCTCAGTGATGAATCCCACACCCACTGACCCTGACATGACATCCCTGTGAGGCACACACACAGAATAGGGCTCTGGAGATACTGTAGGCTGTTACACCAATTGAACTGAATTTGTTGGGGACCACATCATTCTCCAAGGATGCACCAAGGGACTTTAGAGCAGTGTCACGTAAAAATCAGCAAACAAAATAAAACAGAATAACTAAAGAATCTTTCCCTCCGATCCACAGTGCGTCCTACTGTAGCTAACAAGAAACACACAGAACCTATAAATAGCAATCAGATGTACATCCTCCCAGAGCAGCAGAGGTATGTGCAAGGCACTGCTGGGAAAATTTCTTCTTCTGATCAGGTCTGTGGTATTAAACCGAAGCAACCAAGTTGCCAAGTATGATTCGTCTTCCACAAAATCAACTCAAAGCAGGAATCCACACGGGAAAAGGCTATCTGTGCAGTCGGTCAAATCACAAAAGCTATCTATTGCTTTATAGATTTAGTACCAGTGTTACTTGGTAGAAAGTCTGCAACCTCTGACTGAGCATGAACTGTGTCATAAATGAGAATACATAATTCCATCCTTCATTCTAACCTTTTTATCCAACACAGGGTCGTGGAGGAACTGGGGCCTATCCTGGAAAGGAATGGGTGCAAAGCAGGATACACCCTGGACAGGAGGCCAGTCCATCACAGGCACACACAGATACACTCACACATTCACACACCCTGGACAGGAGGCCAGTCCATCACAGG